GCAATATCAACTTTGGAAAATAAATTGACTTTAAATTATAGTTTGATGTTGCTGCTGCACCCTTTTAGGAAACTCAGAAGTTTACTTGGGTCGTAGGCCGCAACCAATTCTGAAAGGTTTTTGTCAAGTTTGACATAAAGAGGTTTTTTATAACGTGACACTCTTTGCCCGGCACACATTTTTTCGATCAAGATTTCAGCGTTTTTCTGTTCGTCTTGAAATTTTTCTATGAGTTTGGGAAATGATGGGTGCTTGCCAGTCTGAATGTGACGCCAGACGCTTTGGCTCAAATGGAAATAACAGTATTGAATTTGTACATTTTTGGATACTGAGTTGAACGCATTTTTGACCGCTATTTCGAAATCAATGGTGGCTCGTTTAGGGAATTCAATGTCGAAGCAGCTCAAAAGTCGAAAGTACGTTTCTTCTTTCTTGTCCGGAAGCAATGTATACACAATAGGAATCAGAATTCCCTCGACTGAAGCGTGGATGGTGTATATCTGAAAGAACACACTCGGGGCCGTAGAAAAGGTGCCATCGCAGAACCAATCATCAGCGCCACTGAGAATGTCGAGTCCCGGAAGAGTGGTGAAAACCATTATTCGCTTGGTATCATTAGGCCCAGAGTCAAAATGAAGGAAACGCTCGCCGCTGTGTGTCACTTTCAGCAACTCTGGCAGTTCAAAATCAGTTAGGGATTGGGGTTCCTGCATTCTGGGCAGTGACGTTATCTTGGAAAGTGCGCAACCGGCCATTGCATTTCGATAAAACACATCGCCACGAAATTGAGGTGTCTGTTAGAATCCGATGTTTGAAGTATGCGTATGCATCATAAACTAGCATTTCGTTGTTTTTATTTGTCATAAGAATTTCCATTGTCAACACGAACTCGAGAGCAATAACAATGAAATTATGATCTCTCGTGTCTACGTTTGGCAACATTATCAATCAAGCAATAATTGTGTAGGTATGTGTAAATGATTTGAGTCCTGTGTTAATTTCGTCTCTAATTTGCTAGGCGAAGTAATTTCTGGTCTAAGTGCTCAGTTGCGTGGCCTTATCAATTTAATCCTACCTATTGAGAGCTTATCAAATTAATCCGGTCATTAACTAGTGTGGCAATAGCCTGGACAATTTTGGGACAATTTTGTCTGGGAACCAAATGTCTTGGACACTTTTTGCATTTTGGACTGTTTTTGCCGGGACATAAATGTCTGGGACACAAATGTCCTGACACGCTAAAGATTGGTTAGACAGATTTCTTGTTTCTTATTGTACCTCATGTTGAAAACCCTAAAATGTTTTAATTGCAAAAGCTATTTTGCTTGAGCATTTGCTTGTAATAATATTTGAGGTTTTTACTAGACCGATACAACAGCTCTGAAAATAGTTTGAAAAAGCATAATAACCAATGCAACTAAAGACGTGACAAACCGATAGTAGACGGTTGCTTTCCGCCACAACAATTAGAAACCTTTTTGTAGCTTTTAATGAATTTTTTTAATTAAGTGTCGTTTTTTTTTGAGTGTGGTATTACAAGGTAACTATAGAAACGCGCAGAAATTTAGGGAGTAAAGCATTTTGGGCAACAGTTTTCCTCGAAATTGAGGAAAAATAGAAATGACAAAAAAAAACGTTTCAGAAAAGTTTTTTTCTAATACTTTTTTCTATGTTTTTTGCTGAAAACTTTTTCTTTTTTCGATTTTGTTTTCACAAAGTTGGCGCCAAATGAAACATTGAAAACTAGTTACTTTGACATAAAATTATGTTTTTCAATATTAAAGGAAAATTTTTATTAGACCTGCTCTCTATGTCTGACTGACACCCACTTAATTTGTCTGTTAGTTTGAGAGATGGTAGATTTTGGAACTGAGACAAATCTGAAGGTTTGAAAACATTATATCTGTTTGTTTTTGGCACCATATGTCGCACGCTGTAAACTGATTTAATTAAAGCAGCCGTTTTGCTTGAACATATGGACTTGCTCATGCTTAAATTGTTTATGAAGACTTTTGAGCTTTTTGGAAAACAAATATAACAACAATACCAAGAATTTCAAAACTTGTAATAAAATGTGCATTCAAAAACTTGGCTGAAACGATACTACCCGGTTGCCCTGCTATGAATGTTCGTGTATTATGCATGGTGTGCCGAGAAAACTGTTTAAACGCGTAGAAACTTAGTGAGTTGAGCATAATCGACTTAAGCTTAGTGAGACCTGGGCAATTATAAAAAATAATAAGTTTCTCTGGTATTCTATATGCATTGAATATTTTCTATTTTCGATTTTGTACCATTTTTGATTTTTTGTTGCCAAATGAAGCTTTTTAAATTAATTTTGTGATGCAACTTTTTGTCTTTCAATATTTAATAGAATTTTTTTGACAAAACCTACTCTCTCCCGTTGATTTGTCTGCCTGATTCCTAGTTATTTTTTCTAACTAATTTGTCAGTTTGAGGCATGCTAGCTTGGGAAAAAAAGCTCAATTGAAAATGCTTATTTCAAAAGCAGTTTTTTTGTACCAAATGTCGCACAATTTAAATTGATTTTATTGAAACAGCCATTTTGCTTGAACGTTTGCTTAACTCAGCTGAAAACTAAGACTTCTATCTACCAAAACTCTGATTTTCTTTAATTGTGTTTTTTTTCCAAACTATTTGTCCCAAAAACGTTGTGTTTTGTTTCATCAACATTGTGAACAAATATGTTTTCTTTCAAATATTTGTGTACTTTCTCCAGTTTTGCGAGCGTCGAGATTCTAAGGTCGAACATTGAATTTTATTTACATAAAATTAGTGTATCATCAGCAAATTCCACTTAATTCTTGTTTCTATTGATTTTGTGTTTAAGCTATTATATAGGAATGAAAACCGAAAACCAGCGGTCAAAAAACACTACCTTTAATGTTTTCCAAGAGCATTTTCTAGTCCTAATTATGATTTTGAAGTTCTGCACATTGCTTACGGACCATTGAAGTGCCCTTTGGGAAAATAGATGCTCTATTGAAAAAACCTTACGTGCCAATTTTTTCCTAAATTGTGTTATGCAAAATGGTATTTATAGCTGTAGCAAGTTCCAGAAAAGTGCTCTTTTTTATTCTTCAATGTTGCTACAAATGTTTTCAGTAGAATCTGATAATGCAACTTTCGCTGATTATTTTCAAATTTTTTGGTTAATTTTCTCAAAAAATACAAAATTGATAAAATTTTCATGTAAATTAAAGAAAAAAAACTTGAAGTTTAGATTCAGAGTTTTTTTGAAAATCTTCACCCTGCCTATATTAAATAGAAAGTGAATAAATAAGCATCCAGAAATGTATTAGCCCGACCCAATATCTTGCCTCAATTAGTTTGAAATTATTTCTAGGCCGGATTAAACTGCCGCTTACGCGTTTATAGCACGAACTCATATGTATTGCATGTAGCCAAATTCGCAGTTTTCAAACACCAGTAATTTACAAAAGTTAGTCATCGTTAAAAAATCTTTTTAATTTTGAGTTCAGCTTGTCAATGCTCGAATTTATAGGCATAAATATAAACAATGTCTCTGTAAATAATAAATGATATGAGTTAGATCGGCCACTGTGTAAATGTTTAAATGTTGATTCCGCAATGAAAAGTTTTTTTTGGATTTCATTATTTTTCTAACTGTGTTTTTTTCCATACGAAAAATCAGGTACCACAAGATATCACCAGAATATTGAAAGTGATATATTCTATTAAAGCCTTTTCAGCATTGATTCGAACAATATTGAAGATTAGTTTTAAAAAATTGGTGTTAGTACAAAGAAGATTTTTTTCACTCTTAATTTTCGAATATGTAAGACGATCGAATAGGTGTTATATTAGTAAAAGTAACAAATTAGTGAAAAATCAGTTCGACTCCATGAAAATTAATTTTTGAAGCTTCAATAAGCAATAAAAAGTTTTCTGCTTAAAATGATTCAGAGTTGGTTTAATTTTTGTGTTTTGCATATACGAAAAGTATCACTCAGTATTTAAAACTGGGTGTGAAGGGAAGATTTTCATAAATGAATAATTAAAACTTTGATGTTTTATCTTTGTTTGTTTCTTGAAAGCTTCTCAATTTTTAAATCATCTTACTTCAGACTCTAAAGAACAGTCGGAATATTGAGGCATTCGCGTTGGCCTAATTATGCATGCGGTCGTTGTTTTATTCAGACTAATATGGACCTTTTAATTAATCGCCAATATTTGAATTTCCATTCCATCTGAAAGAAATCAATACTCTAAGCTCAACTGTAAAAAGCTCTTTCTTTCAACTGGGTTTTTCTCGCGAAGCCAGGGTGGTTTGGAATTTGCCATATTGGGATGGTTAATGCTCGCGAAGTTTCCAGTTTCTATCAACGCGTAGCAAATTGGGCTGAGAATTTTATCCAATTTCATTGAAGTTTGCTAATTGATCGAAGTATTGTGTTATTAGCAGCAGAAGTTTTGCTTTCGTAGTTAACCTTGGGTGTGGGGAGATCTATGGATTTTTTTTGAATTTTCATTAATAATGATTATTATATTTATAATTTGAAAAAAAAATACCTGAGACAGCTTAAAGGTACAGTTGTAACATACAGTCTTGTTTAGTAATTATAGTTCAGTCTTGTTTAGTAGTTTTTTTTTAAAATTTGTAAAATATTCATCTCAAAAATTATAATTTCAATTTTTTTTGTTCAATCATTGTCAGGATAGCTTTGTCAGGAAAACTGGCTGGTCTGAGTTGTATTTTCAAAAATAGTCGAAAAGAAAAAGAAAATTATAACACACTAGACGCCATGCAGGGGTCGGCTGTGGGTCGAATCCCTGAGGGAGAGGGGCGTTTCGTCACCGCCCCCCCAATCCGCTGGTGGTTCTTCTGTTATCAGCTACGTCATAATATCAAAATATTCTCAGTTTTTCAAAACTATCAGTGTTTCCAAATTAAACAAAAAATAAGCCAATTTCAATTGAACGAGTAAAATAAACGAGCAATTTGAATTTATGTACAGAATCTGCGAGGTCTCCGGAATGTAAGTATAATACACTTATCATTAGGATACACCACATCACTTAGACCACTTAGTTGTTTATTTCCGAATCACCGAACAGTTTGCGCACAATCCCTGCATGCTCATCTGATGTTTTGTTAGAACATTCTTTTTTATTTCACTTCAATATTTTTTCTAGCTTCACAATTATTATTTTTTGAAAAATGTGACGTTATTTTGCAAGTTTTGTCATAATGGTTTTAGTTACGACCTGGAAAACGTGGGAGCTATTCCGAAGAATAAGTTGTTCCATCTTTGGGGTCTGGACAAAAATGGGAAGCCCAAACTGCGGGACCTGATGTTCCACAGGAGCCAGACAGATGTGCACACCCAGAGGGGAAGGGAACACACCAGACTACCGACTGCTCACTCCATTGCACTGGATGATCTGAATGACCAGGCAGTGTTCAGGCCTAGCTGGGAGACTGACCCCAAAGGAGTCACCTCTGACCCTTCGGCGCCCATTCCCAAGTCCATGCTGAAGATGAAGTCGAAGGAATTCATGGCTTTCTTGAGAGAGAAGGTACACTAAGGAGAAAGGCTTCAATTTTTAATGCAAAAAAATTTTCAAATCTCTTAATTATCTGAAATTCAATTAATTTCAAGAATGATTTTGGACTCTTGGAGTCATTTTGAGCTTCTGCCGGTTTGGAGGATGATTTTTTTCGTTCTTCAAACTACTTGACGATAGAAGTCTGTTATTTTCAGTTCGAGGCTGGCTCCCAGCAGATGGTGAAGTGCTTTGAGAAGTACGACACGATATCATGTGGCCAGGTATGTACGCCCTCATCGATAGTTTTTCATACAGGTGCCCTAACGTTATTTTCATACCGAACCCGTAGTATATTATGTCAATCAAAAACTAGCAATTTGCCTCTTCAAGTTTATTTCAGACTTTCAACTTTTTATCGTCGCTTGAGGCTATGGCAGCATATTACAGCGCAGAAAATTATCCAACAGAATCATGGCACTTAGCTCTTAATCACGGGTACAATTGAATCCTATGTTGTTCGCCAGGTGTCCCTCGCGACAGTGAAGAAAGTGTTGAGTGAAGTTGGCATCGAGTGTGAAGAGAAGACGCTGGACCAGATGAATGGACGTCTGGACATCCCGTGTGACGAGAACGGAGTCTACTACCATCACTTCATCTCCATTCTCTCATCCAGGGCAGAGTTGGCCAAGATAGAAGCTATTAACAAACTGGTCCCCGATGACAATTCCAAAGAGCAGAATGGCAAAGAGTATGCAAAAAAGTTACACTTGCATCTAAAAAATTGAATTATCTTGTCAAATAGCACAAATGTTGTAAAAAATATGAGGCAACTTTTTTTTAAATAGTTCAAAATTTACAATTTGGAGGGCTCAATAAGCTTTTTTATGCCAGAAGTAAAACTTCATAAACAAAGATAGACTTGGTTAGTAATTTTATTTTTAAAAAACACTTTCCAGGGATTCGATAAAACAAAGCAAAAAAATCTCCGGGGATTCGAATCCTTTTTAATGAGGCCTTCTGGTAGTTGTCGTTTTTTCCTATTGCGGGCCTACAATTTTAAGCTTTCGTCAATTGTTTTTGAAGAATGCATTGATTTGTTGGCAGCGCTGGGAACAAGGACGAGGATGATGCCAAACTGGAGACTGCCATCACAGACTTCCTGGCTGCCAGCTTCCTCGCCATACTCGCTGGATTGAGGTATTCAAAGAACCTCCACTCTCTGTCTTCCCACCTTCTTCAAATCTTTTAAAAATCGCCTCAAATTCTTCTGAAACTGTTTTTAAGACTCATTTTTTGTAGAAAGTTATTCAAATTGATGGTAAAATTTGTCATTATTGCAAAACCTGCCTGAAACAACTTTGTTTAATTGCAGTATTTTGTTATGTTCAAACAAATTCGAATGTAGGTTGAAAAAGTTCACTCTGTTGCAGAGAAGCGGACAAGGAAGGGGCGTGTAGTGTTGAGAAAGGAGTAGTGATGAGTCAGTTGGAAAAGCATCTGAAGTTCTCCCTCTCCCCAGCTCACAAACAGCTGTTAGAGAATGTGATCTTCAAGCATGAGAGACACAAGTCGGACGTAGCAGATGGCGCAAAAGTGGCATACATGCACTTCATGAAACTGTTCACCAGATCGTGAGTCATCATTATGGACACAATTAAGAAGTATGGCTCTTCTCTATGTGTTCTCCTTCAGTGTAAATTGAAACGGCTGATCCAAACATCAGCTCAAGTAAAAAGATACAAAATACAGTGTAAAAAAGAAAAAAATAAATGACTGAACTTGCTTTATTAGTTCATAAAATGTCTTTTGCGGTTTTCTCATTTTATCACATCATTTAAATAATGGCGAGGTACCCAAAAACATAACCGAAAGGCTACATACTATTACGTGATTACACTGGCGAGCTTGCGAGCGTTAGTGTAATAGTACGAACCTTCTTTTTTCTAAACTAACACGCAAATAAAAGTGTTCAATAAAAGTGTTCACTCATTTGGTGGCACTTTTGCTATAATCACGGTCAGTAGTATTGGAAATTTCTGCTTTAATTGTGGCTTGTGTTTTTAACTCATTCAGAGCCTGTGGCTGAATGGTTATTGTGTGATGCGCATTACCTCTAGGTCGCAAATTGAATCTGGGAAGTAGCCGAATGTTCGCTTTTTTTCGTGTTCTGGCTAGTGTTTGCGAAGAGTAGCTTCGCCTCTGTGTTCATGATTACGGACAGAATTAGATACCATGCGGATTTGTATGGGTTTTGGTGTTTACAGATGTCCAAGTAAATTGTTGTTTCAAAAACCTTACGAAAATTTTTTCATTGGTTTTTCTTGTACCTATAGCTTAATTTGCATTTCGAAAGATTACTTTAAAACTATTTTGGAAAGTTTTTCTCCTAAAACAAAAGCGTTAGCCTATGTCATACTGCGCTAGCGGTAATCTTGGATGCTTAATGTAATGTAATTGTTTATCACATACGATATTTTATACCAAGGTCACTGAAGATCACATTTTCTCATATCACACTTTTTCATCATATCGGATTGGTTGGAGTGCAATTAGTGTGAGTGTTTTTCACTTTCAGACTGCAATGAATCCCAACACAAGTACCAACAACACAAACGACAGTTTCGAGCAGTTGTTAAATCAGTATCTGCCGGTCACCCAACATTGGTTCTCCTCAGATAGAGCCAGGCCGCGGTTTCGCGCGGGGGCTATTCGACCCAGAAGATCTTCAACAGTTCAACGAGGAGTAGAACTGAGGAGTCAATACGCCCGTATTCTAGCGAATTTCAGGTCCAAACGGGGCAGGATACCAAAACAACAATCTCAGTCAGTCAACAGTCTCGAGATCTTAAAGTCACCAGTGGTCGCTGCGGACCAGAAATCGTTAACCGGACTGGTGGGAATTCTGGACTCAGATGTATTATCGGAGCTCACGGATGAAGATGCCAGTTTAAGTCTCATGAAACGAGCAATTATCAACCGGGATTACGAAGGATTTTGCCGTATCGATTCCTATATTAAATCATTTTGGCATTGTGCAGCGGTAGTTGATGGCTGTGTTGTGGTGGATAATAGGATCGCTATTCCCATGTGTCTACGCAAACCTTTGTTATCTCGACTTCATAGATCGCATGCGGGTCAGTTAGCAATGGTTGACGCAGCACAATACATCTGGTGGCCCCGAATGCATCGGGACATTATCCAACTGTGCAAAGATTGTCCTCAGTGCACAAAGTTTGGTAAGAATTTGAAAGCGAACGTATCATTTAATTCATCCAAGCCTTTACCTCTTTTATCGGGTCCTAATGAAGAGCTGCAACTTGACTACGCAGGCCCTCTACTTGACTCATTTGGTAATAGTATTTATATCTTGGTCGCAATCGACCGTTATTCAAAATATCCGTCGGCTATGATTACGCGTTCCACGGGAGGACGGAAGATCATTAAGTTTCTCAAGTCATATATTCAACAGCACAGTATTCCCAGATCCATTAAAACAGACCAGTATTCCGGTTTTAAAAATAAATTAGTGCAAAATTTTTGTCTAGAGAAAAATATTGTACAATATTTTTGTCCGGTGGGGGACCATCGTGGCTGTGGTTTAGTCGAACGGTCGATACAAACAATTAAGCGTCGTTTGGGCGCCTCTCGGTTAAGTTCGGATTTCTCTAATGTTCAGGATACCCTTAGGAATATTATTGAAGATATCCGGGTTACAAAAAATTCAGTTACCGGGGTCTCCCCGTTTGAACTTCATTTTGGTCGTCCGCCGAATACGGAGCTATCTATAGCGGCTGATCGTTTAACTTCGGGAATTCATTTAGACAACCAACGTTTGGAACGGGACTTGCTCACACCAGAGCAGCGACGGGAGCAGTGCGATAGTCGTCCCAGAATCAAAGTCGTCAAGAAAGGGCAATCAAGCCCGACGGTGTCTCCACATTTTGGTGGAACCACAGACTCAGTAGCGGATACACCCCACTACCGTGCACTGGAGAGCTTGGCACAATCCGCAAACCAGTGGTTGTCATTGAAAAAGTATCTGACACATCAGGAGTGAGTCAAAGCCCTGAAGACCCTGACGGAGAGAAATCAAATCCTCGCAGCCACTCTTCGTTCGAACTTGTCCGCTGGTACCCTCAGATTCCGGAACCAAATGCCAACGGAACAAATTCGCCCTTCGTTGCCAAAACGTAATTTGGACTATTTAGTATTGAACGAACCAAATAAGGTCGAAATTTTTCGGAAATTTCTAAATAGGAAGTCTGGCAGAGAACTTTTCAAACCTTATAAGGGCAAAATCGTGCGGATCACTGATTCCACATATATTTCTGATAAAGGGAAAGTTATTAGAAGGAATCACTTGGCAGTGCGTCTTAAATGAACCCCTCTAAGTTTTTCAGGAAAACAACTAACTCCTGTGAAGAAAGGGAAGAAACGCCCAAACGTGCCATCTTCAACATCATCATCGGAAGACAATAGGCCTCTCAAACAATCGGGTTCCAGGCAACGTATTTCAGCGAAAACAGTGTACGTGCCTGCTCATTCGAAATTTCCCTCTATGCCAGTTTCACATACTCCACCCCGCAGTCAAATGGTGGCGTCGAAATTAAGGGAAGATGCAACTTCGGAGGCTCCGGGTATACAGAACATCCCGTATCCACAGCATTCTACTCCGGTGGTAGACTTGACAGTTTCTTCCTCTACGTCGGGTAATCCAGGAACAGAGGCTCCTATTAGCGTCAAACCAAGGTGTATTAACGTCAAACCGAAATCTACAGTTATTGTCTCTTCCTCTAAGTCTGGCAATTCAGGAGCGGAAATTCCTATTAGCATCAAGTCAAAGGCGCCAATTCCAATAATGACCCCAGTAGGCTCAGATCTTATTCCCATCTCTTCAGACGAAGAATCGTCAATCTCGAAGTCACAAGTAGGAACTTCATCAAAATTGGTAGCATCGGGCTCTAACACCCAAGATAGTCACGGCATACTTTCGGAACAGGATGGGAATATGTCTTCTTCGTCAAATTCGTCACGATCTTCTTCTCGACGGAAAATGCAAACTACATTCTACGGTAGCCCTATTAGACACTCAGTTAATGTCATTCAGTCTCAGTCAACAACTACGCCTCCGTCAACTCCTGCCTCTCCGGATAAGAAAGTCCGTTTTGTCGTGTCCGGTTCTGATCGTCCTAATCAAGTAAGCCAGTCTCGGGCTGATATACCCGAGGATTCCCCAAAACATAGGAAATTTATTCGTTTCCCCAAAACGAGTACTTCCGACTATCCTTCGCGTCGGTCAGATAGATAAAACTTTTGTATTTATCGAATTCGGCATTTGGTCCAGAACTTAAACAAACTATTGTACCCTGTATTTGCTAAAAACTTTAAACTTTATACCAAATTTCTATTGTAAAACTTCATGTCGGTCAGATAAATGAAACTTTTGCATTTATCGAATTCAGCATTTGGCCCAGAAATCATACAAACTATCGTACCTTGTCTAATTAAAACTTTCGCATTTATCAATTCAGCATTTGGTCCAGAAATTATACAGATTTTTGTATCTTGTTCTCGCCATAATCTTTAAATTCATATCAAACCTTTATCTATGATAGTCATTTTCCATAAATCTCTTTGTCTACCTGATGTTCTTCACGGTTTCATATGTAAAAGCGCATTTATTAATTTTGTACTTAAGAGTAAAGAAATTCAAACACGGTTTGAATTCTTTTCCCGAGAGGGGGAAATGTGGTGCGTCGTTGTTTAGTCTTAAACATGACGTCATCAGTGTGCTAGCTATTCGTGCTAAACTCCATTATCGGTCAAGGTCGTTACCGACCTGCCAATCCACTTGAATCTTAACAGCTTGCGCTCTATTCATTCTCTGTTCAACTTATGAAAGATTTAAGTTGTATTTACTTCTATTGTCATGACATTATTTAAATACTAATCTATCTATATTATCTATATGATAACATAACAAGGAGAATTGATTCTTGTTTTAAAACTGTCTTTCGACGTTTCACAAACTGTATTATTCAGTCTGCGAATTGCTACAGCTATGGCTTAGCTGACAAAAGGAAAAGGTTCAGAACAAGAATTGAAATGATTTCTGGGCATTATCTTTTATATCTAACAGAGTTCCTGAGGTTTTCGCAGCCAAGTTCAAGTTTTGACATCTTGTTTACGACTTTCGACTTCTAAACCACGTTTTTTTAGTTAACCTTGGTAAATTTGATGTATGTAATACCAAATAACAAAATAAAAAGATGTATACATTGTCAATCCTACTATTGTTCACCCTTTAAGTTAGTAGGTTGAACTTGTGTTGATGAAGTTGGTTTTTGTTCATTATTATCTTATATAACCACGGAATGAGAAAAACCGCTATCGTAAACTTTGTTTAATACATATTCTTTTAACGCGATTTTTTGGTCAAAGTTTTCCAAAAAATACCTGAAAACACTTTTTTGGCCTGTTTTTTTTTCAAAAATTTGCCTGCCGAAAGTTCTGTCGAATTGGGGTCTTTATAGAGATAACGGAGAGCTCAGCAAATCAATTTAGTCGACCTAAATTTTTTTTTGAAAATCCGCCCCCTTCTCTCGAGAAAACCTTAAATCAGCCCATGCCTAGGGTTAGAACTGTTTCGACTATTTTCATTATTGATATGTGTTACTTCTTGGAACGGAATAACTTACGTCTCAAATTGTTTTTTTTTCCTTTCAAATTCTTATTGATGTGATTTGACAATTTGATCAATCAGAACTGTTCATGGAAAAAAAAAGCTATTATTACATTTTGTACAACTAATATTTTTTCCTGATTTTTGTTGTGCAGATTCTCGCGTCAGAAGTATGCCAGTGCTGCCAGCAGTGTCCGATCAGCTGGATCCTCTCTCGGTGGTGGGGAATCAGGGAGGAGTACTTCCCATTCTGAGAAGGAGCCCCTCTCGCCCGCCTGGGGAGTGACGGCGAGGAACAGACACCGACGGATGAGGACTGTCTCCCCCAAGAGGTACCAGAAGGGTCTGGACACTCTGAAAGAGCTGCAGGAAAATCCAACTGAGCAGAATGTGTTCAACCTGCCAATAACCATGGTGAGTCGATTGAAGATTAGATCCTAGTTAATTAGGAAAATTTTTCTGTGGAAACGAGAATAATTATTAACCAGATGTAACCACAATATTTCAGATAGAATATTTGTAAAAAACGATTCAAAAAAATCTTCCGCAATTCCGAGCTTTGTAATTTCACAAAAAGTTTTGTGAAATGGCAACGCGAAGTTGGCTGAACAATATTTTTTCTGAATTGTTATTACAGTAAATCGAGTTCTAGTAGTTTTTTATGTTCACCTGAAGTTTGGTGCTTTTGTTTAGTTGGAAATGGCGATGCAGGAAGTCAGCAAGAACAAAATCCACTCGCTGCATAAGGTTAGTAAATTGTTTGTTAAAAACTTTTTTAAAGTATGAAGTATAATTTGTTTATTACAATTCTAGCATTTATACTTGACATTACTTTCCTCCGTTCGTTCTGTCATCTGCTGAGATGGTTTCTGTTCAAGCTCGTATAGAGAATAGAAGCTGGGAATGTATAATATTTGTATCCAACTGTTTTCGTTTATTTATCTTTACCAGGCCTTCATGCTGCTGACAAAGAACGGCAAACGACTCATGAACAAACTGGAGTTCACTGACATCCTCTCCAAAATCGGGGTTCCCCTCTCACCCGATGAGATAGACCGAATTTGGGCTCTGCTGCCCCTGGAGCAGGACACAGGAGAGGTGGCCTTGGAAGCGTTGGTCGCCAGATTCACTCCTGGACATCCCAGTAATGCGAGCGCTCTTCCAGATCTCTACTCCAAAAGGCCGATTCCAGGTTTGCTCCTTCTCCCACTTTTGATAGGCTAGATTTAAAGTAAAGGATGTTGAGACGAGGATTCTTTAACAATTATTTGCAGTTTAAATTTCAGAATAGTTTTATATAATTTTCAGCTCCTCTTAAGCGTGCATGTAATTTTTAGCTCTTCTTATGCAATATTTAGCTCTAATTTAGCTCCTCACATTGCCTTGACCGTTATTGACGTGCGAGTAAGTAAAAGAAACAAAGAGTGTTCCATGTGGTTTGATCATCAAGGTCCTTGGTTGTTCCCTTTATTGCACAGTGCTTTGAATATTCTTTTTTCCCTTTCAATTTCTCGGTGTTGTCCTATAACAAAACTTGAAATAGACAAAAGCTTTATCGTTCATGACAACAAAGTTATAATTCATTCAAAGGCCATTTTTGTTCTTTAATTATCAGACGTGTATTTAAAAACGAGAAAAATTTTGATGGTGTCTTTTATGCTTGTTGGTTTGCATTGTAGTATTGTGTGCATGATTTGATTTTGATGTTTTCTGTTTTTGAGTGCACATTGAATTGATTGAGTAGTTTGATTTTGTTTTGTCACAATTTCGAACTCACGTCATCAAAGAAGAATCTATTATGAGACGGCGACATGACTTGCAAAAAATAAAGTAATGGCTATCTTCTTGGCAATGTTTAAAGGTGTCAATAATGATCTGTGATCACAACCAGCTTATGCAGCAACAACAACAATTTATTTAGAGTTGCTACTAGTTCGTCTCAAAAATGACCCCTTTGCTACTTTTACATACTTTCCCTTTTCCCCATTAAAGTTGAACTTATTGTGAGGCCAGTAAAAGGTCAATATGCAATCTTTTTGTATAAAAATCTTCCAAAAAACAGTCTAAGGTGAGCGTTTGACACGATATTTAAAAAACAATTGCCGAAAACTACCTAATTCCGTACCATCTGGTCGAAAATCCTGGATCGAATTTTGTCTTCAACTGCGTGGTCTAAGGTGCTTTTACCTAATCGAAAATTTTTAAAGATGACAGAATAAATTGTGAGGAAGGTTCAAGCGATGCTTGCTCGTCCCGGAAAATGCAAAATTCGCTGGCATTTCATCAAAGCAGTTTGTCTCATCCAGCAATGAAGCAGTTCTTTTGTCATTGAAGCAGTTTTTCCGCTCTAAAAAAGATTGAACATGCACCAATCGAACTCGCTTTTGGCTTTGTACAAACTCATGAAACATAATGAACTTAAAATACTCAATTTTTAAATTATTTTTTAAATAATGAGAATTGAACTGGCAGTCAGGTGGTCTGTTTCAGACTAATGATGATGAATTGCTCTATCGATCATCGTTTTCAATCAAACAATGGCGCCATAGTGACCAATCAGCGTTTGATTTAACCACTATTCCAGTGGCACTGCTAAACTTATTCTGCCATTTTGAATCATTAAAAATCAGTAAAGCTGCAAGTTAATACAAGGCAGTTATTATCAAAGACCGATTAATGTTAAGAACTAATTTTAGGATTTTTGAAACATTTAAATTATTCGCTGATTGCATTTATTTGGTTCTCTTTTTCTTTCTAAGTAGTATTCAAGTGTTATTTTGTAAATCCAGTATCGGATGAAGAGTTAGTGGCGCAGGCGAAGCAGAAGATAGCGGAGCAGAAGCGAGCCAGGAAGCTGGCCCTGTTGAAGGCCAAGCCAGCCAGATGTGGCAAGGGGGACACTAGTGAGGAGGCGAAGGAGAGGGGGGAGAGGAAGGCCTCTCTGGGAGAGGAGAGGGAGAAAGTGAAGGAGATCATGATCAGAATCAAACCACAGGTTCATTCATATCCTTTTTTACAGAAGCAAAGAGAAACCAGTCATTATCGATTTCGTTAAGACCATTTATCCACGCGGGAAAGGACCAACATACGAGCTGTACAGCTGATCACTGCGAACCGCTGTTGTGCCCCTGCTTAAGAACTACATTCAGTTTTTTGGTTATTTTTCTGGGCTGGGTAATGGTGCTTCACCCTCAAGCAACGAGTGCGGATTATGGTGGGCCTCGAACAACCGACCTTTCGATTCAGATGCGGAGATGTAACCACTTCGCCACAGCTCCCCTTTATTTGTTTATTTGTCAATTATGTGTGCGTTTGAAGAGAGCCTTGAATAGTTTTTTCATAATTATCTAATGACAGCGAGACAAATAATTACGTTTTTGTATTTGAATGCAAAGCGCCACCATGTTTTTTTCTTAGGATTTTCTCGAGACGTTTGGGGCAGTTTTTGGAAGGCAACGACTAAAAATTTGCGTGCGTTATTTTGGCACGCGCTCCCTCTCAAAATTAGCTCAAAATCGGCGCTCTTAGAACAATTTAAGTGTTGTTTGGCCAAAAATGCATGTCGTATAAAAGTACCAAAAGGGGACCTTCGTGTGGTGATGGGATTGGATCCTGAATAAGGGGTCCCCCTCCAAATCTGCAGTTGGTTCTTGAATACATTGTTACCATTTCAGACAGATTTGCTTCTGAAATTTTATTCCGAATACTCAATTTGCTAGCTTGTAAAAATAATCTTTACAGAAATGTTTAGGAGTCTTTCTGAGAGCAAGTTCTAGTTTTGTTCCATTACTAATTTTATCGGATGATCTAAATAGGATCGATTTTTAATTGTATTTTGAATTTTGGTAGTTATTTTCTCTAACTTTAGTTATGAGGGTTTGTGAGAGAAGCAAATGGATATTTTTTATCTTAACAGATGAGCGAACATCTTACGGAATTGCGCGCCAAACTGCGCCAGGAAGATTCACTTGGCACGGGATGTGTGAAGAGAAATGTAATGGAGGTCAGTCTGTCAACTATTACTAACTATATTAACCACATTGGTTTGTTTTCAGATTACACAGAGCCTAAAAGAGGCGTTTGTGTGTCAGGATCGCTACGGGCGAACTCACATCGATTTCAAAATTACCAAGGTTCCTTGTCTTTGTCTATTCTATCTATAATCTGTCTACCTTTTAGATAGTTGCCTTTGTCGTCCTAATCTATCAGCATGCCTTATGCCTATAGTGTAATGTCTTCTTTTCTGACAGAAGTTTCAAAAACTGCATACAAAAAAGCTGATTTGTTGTGATAAAGCACAGGAACTTTTCGCATCATCCAGTACATCAATGCTGCATCATTGGCAGCGTCGCTGTAAATCGCGCAATATTGAAGTATTCTTTTATTCAAACCATTTCTTGAGATAGATCTAAAGAGTTTGAAATTTTTCAAGTTTTGGAAATTGTTCATCCACGAAGAATTTGGACTTTTTGGCTTGCTGTTTTTTTTTGTGGAATGGCATTACAATGAAAAAATTTGATGACTGAATTGGCCTCTCTGGATTCCCAGACATACTTACCTGGACTGTATCAATCTCTGTTCGCAGAACTTGTTCCATCAGCACAGACTGGACTTGCGAAATGAGAAAGAGGCGGACTTGCTCTGCAGGGCGTTCGATATCAACGCAAACGGAAAGTAAGCCAAGTCATTTAGTTGTTCGAGAACTTCCTAACCTAAGACTATCTGGCCAAACATTCGACACATTGAAACTGAAAACTATCTTGATTTTTTTGTTATTGTTCTGCTTTATGTGTGATATAAAGAATTTTTTTGGCTGGCAAGCCAAGTCCCGCTTTTCCTACAGTTTTTGAAAATCATGGGACGATTTGAGTGTGGATATGTTGCTCTTCACTGACCGTAAACAGTAAACACGGTTCTAATGTTCATTGACATGTTTGGCTGTTCTGTTTGCAGCTTCCACTACCTGAGGTTCCTGGAACTCTACTTGCCACCTGTGTGCAAACACCCGATGGAGGCAAACGCACCCATAGACAGTGCCAACATCATTCAAGTGCTCAGGACCAGAGTGAGTGTTCAACTTAGCCTTTGCTTCTATTAATTTTACCTCTTCCACTCAAGACACTATTCCACTTCAATCATAAAAAAACATGTACATTAATTACTTTTGTTGATAGCTCGGTGATTTTTTAATTCGTTTAATTCAGACCTGAACCAGTTTTTTCGCAAAATACGCAATTGAAATTAATATTTCAACAAACTGTTGTTTTTTTCATAATTCTCGTGCTTATTTTGAATTCGTCCTGAGATAATTCATGGCCAAGTCATGTTTTTTTTCGAAAAAATGAAATTATGAAATTATGATGTTTTTGAAGTGGACAACAACAACCTTTTCTGATGATTTCGCACCAGTGGTTCTGATTTTGAACGTCAATTATATACTATAGAAATCGGAGCAACCAGAAATTCCAAAAACACTTAAACTTCAGGTGGGTCTAGTGATGACATCTAAATTTAGATCACACAGCAGCATCTTTTAGTTCGTAGTTGTTCTTAGAAGTTCTCAATTACTCGACAATTTCATTGCACAATGAATTTGCGCCCTGGGCTGATCATTTATTGCACATGAAATCATCATCACAACTGAACTTTATTCGTCATCACTTTGAGCACCTTCGAGTAGTAGATCGATTTTGTCTTGTTATAGTTTTTAGTTTTCTAAATCTCAGTCTCAACTATTATTTCGACTGTTTTTGTTCCGAATTCGAAGAAAATGGAATATTTATGATCGGCGTGGCTTTTTTTATTCAGTCAGTTTTCACCGATCGAAATAATAGTTTTCCACAGAAAGTTTTTGTGCCTCATTAAAGATATCGACTTCCTAAGTTCAAATGTAAAAAGATATCTCACCGATTAGTTTTTGCAAAGTTCTGGGGGGTTGAAAGTTGCCAAATTTGCCATGTTCAGGACTAAATTATGCGCGCTTTGAAGAGTTTACTTATAATGTTGAGAGCGTACGGCCAATTATTTATGCGTGGCGAAGTAATCCCGTGCAACAAAATTGTTTCAAATTGAATTGAGTATAGCTAATTGGCCGTATTAATTTCTTTCGACTCAAAATTTTACTTATTGATATTGTCCAAAAATTATAGCTTTTCAATTGTTTATTTTAAGGGTCAGTCGGAACATTCAGGGACAGTCGGAACATTCAGGGCTTTGCCCTGATTACGAGCAATCTTGTTTTAAAACGGAGTCGAAGTCTTAATAAAAATTCCCTTTACTCATCATTCAGGTTCAGTAGCGGCCTTAGGGAGGGGCTCGGAAACAATTTGGATGACCTAAAAAAGGTCGAAATCAGCCCCGTTCAGATTCCCAATAGATTTTTACAGTAATTCCTATGGTTTTGATGAAAGTTGCTTTGATATTTTTCTTTCGGAAACTAATTTACCGTAGGAGTGATTTTCGAGCAACAAGAGTTAGATTACGAATCTAATTTGAATAATTCTTCAATATAATGCGGTTCATTGTTTGTATATCAAAGAGAATTGGGATGCCGCTGTAGCATAATTTATAGTTATCGAAAAATTCAACATTTTTTTTAAATGAAAAGTTTTAGGTTTTCCATATCAAAGTTGTTTTAAAGAGTAATGAATGTAGTTTGTACTCTTATATAAGTCTTGCTGATTTTTTCTGTTTTTTTTCAGTAAAAAGTCTTAAAATTTGTTCACGCTCAGTTTTGATTTTTCGCGGTTTGATTTGTGATTTCTTTTTAATTTCAGTGCATTTCTGTTGTTAAACTCCACTATCGAGCAGCAAAAGTGTACAGGTCACGAAAAACGTGATCGACTTCTAATTTCAAAAATGGTGATTAATTATCAGATTTCCCAGCGAAATAATAGTTTTGCTTATTGATCCAGTTTTCTCAAATTGGGTTAATTTTAACAAATAATTGTCCATGATAAAATGTTCTACAAATTCGAAGAGCGATGTTCAAAGTTAACATCCTCTACCCCACGAGGGTGGGGTGAGGATATTAACTTGATTCCTTTTTTTTAACTTGCGTTCATTTCTCTCTTCCAATATTCGATTGACTATGTTATATAATATTGAACTTTAAATTTATGAAAATACGGTCAGAAAATTTAAATAATTGTTGCGCATCGACCTGGTTCTCTGTTTTTTTTTAAACTTTCGAGGCGTTCTCTTATCGTGTATTACAAATCATTTTGTTCGTGCTCAGATCTTGGCCAAGTGGAAGAATCTGCGACGAGGCTTCACTCAACATGACGTGAATGGGGACGGATATCTGCAGAAGGGGGAGTTCCTGAGGGTGTTGAGAGACCACGGGATTGTGTTGAGCGAGGAGGATCTGTACCATCTGATGTCAGACATAGACGAGAACATGGACGGCAAGTTGAGCTACAGCGAATTCCTCAAGTACTTCCTAGTCTGAACAACAACTCACACTGCTGCGGTTTATTACATAATATCATCAAGACAAACTGACCAAAAATGAACGCAAGAATTTGTTTAATTATCCTCCTCCTTCCCTCTCACAAAAAGAACAAGTTCGTTATAAGGAAAATAAATCACATAAGCCTAATAGTTGAATAAGTATTTCGAAGCTTAGAAGTTTTCCGATGGATGTTAGGTGTTGGGGATAATTAAAAAATCTGAGCCCAGTATATAAAACAGCTGAAATGTTTGCCATTTGCCCTGAAACCTGTAGCAAATAACATATCCATGATGCAGTTTTTTGCATTAAAATATACCGTTTTGGTTGGTCCTTATAGTAGCTGGTTAATTATTTACGTACGACAACAAAATCACATATAATATAACACCAACTATCTGATGTAATACCATTTAATGGGTTCCTGTTAGCTTTTACTGAAGTATACTAGTACATTTTTCGTCTCAATTTTATGACGCCAAGTTATCGTCTCAATTGTTTTATGAAGGCGTAACTTGATCTTAAAGGAGAACTAAATATTTGTTCTTACTCATGACCATTATTTCAGTCGACTTCATTCTTTTCTTTTTCATAACAAAAACTAAGTAGCTTGAGATACATGAGAAGTAATAGAGAAGATTTCGATAAGCAACCGATTTTTGGAGCACTTTCAAAGAAGTAAATCTACTTTAAAGTTTGAAGTTGACTATCAATTTTAAAATGAATTATCTGCAAACTGTTTGCAGGTCATTTAAACAAATTAGCTAACCAGCAGGGCTCTCAGCACTAACGACCAATGCTAACTTTTACTCGTTGTGAACTAGTTGAAAGTGGTAACATCATTTAATATATTATTTTGATAATTAGCTACTTACTTTCTAAAATGAACGACCCATATCTGCTTAACTCACAAAGTTGCCTGCTATTTTCATTAATAGATTTTATTTGAATCTTTTTTGTTCCTCAAAGACATCTTTTGCGTCTACTTAAGGTACACATTGAGTCCAATGAACTTAACGGAAAACTTAGCGCTAGAGCATCTGGCTGCGTGAGAGAATTAGGTTCAATTTTTTTGAAACCTTGCTTTAGATATTTTTCAGATAATCTTGTCAAAATATTTCTTGTCAATGCAAAAATGTGAAATTTCAAGTTTTGAATGATTTTCAAAAAAAATTGTCTGAACGGTTCAATATGCATTTTTGACTACAAACTAAACAAAATAGTAAATTGACCAAAAAAAAACTGAAATTATAAAAAAATTTTACAAGACTTTGAACAAGTTTGGCACTTGTTTTTATCAGATTTTTTAGAAAAAATCCTGTTTTGCAAAAATTTTCAAATTTCTTGAAAAAAAAATTTTCGAAAAAAACTGGTACCAGTTTAAACACCGGCTTTTATCTTGAACTTGAGGATATTCACCTGGTCTAGTTTAACGTTATTCCACTTTTTTAGTCTTTCGAAGTTCTCATTGGGGTAACTTTTGACCAATTCTTTGGTTTTTTTGTTTTCTCAAAACCTAATTAGCCAAATTTGATACAAGGACTTCAATGGAAAAAAAAGAAGCAAAAGTTAATCTCAGCGGCATATAAGACTATGGCCTAAATTTTGCAGAAAGAAGGGGATGACCTCAGGTGCAGACTATTAAACATTTTTGATTGTTTTTTGGAAACCCTATGCTGTTCTGTAGAAAAACAGACATTGCTGGTTTTGGTATTTTGCCCTATTTGTTGTAATTTTTCCAGTTTTTTCAACTATCTATCAAAACTGGGATTAAGGATTTAATCAAAAAATTGATTTTGGTTTTTTCTGCATGAGTGACTATGCTCCGTTTCTGCAGAAACTAAAAATGTTTGGCCTTGCGAACAGGCTGATTTTTTGACATTTTTATAAAACTGTTGATATCTCTCAAAGTTTTCTTCCAAATTCTGTAGTCGACGGTTAAATTAAAACAACAGACCATAGAAAAATTCATTTGTTTAGCTGCCATACCCCTACTTTTATAGCAAAAAAGTCAACCTTAGACAGCGTAGATTTTTAGACATTGAACTTTCTGTGCTATGTTTTGATTTTATCTCAATAACTCCCCACCAAAACTGGAATAAAAAACTTCACTTATAAAACAGATTGTGAGTACCTTCCCTGCATAATCGACTACGCCCTCAATTCTGTAGGTTGTAGCTGAAACCTTGAAAAATTCAAAGTTTGATATCTTAACCGTTTTGATGAAAGGTTATGTTTTTTTTCTCCAAAGCGAAAATGAGTGTGGACGTTTTACATGCACAACAAATTTTACCCTAAGTTTAGTAAAACGACGATTTAAAGCCTTAAAAAAGTTGTTTTTGGATTTTCGCTTGTTAATAAATTTTTTGGATTTTCTCGAAATGTACTTTCCCAAATTGAGAGTAAGGTTTCAATCAAAAAAAACGCGTTCTGCTTACCTGTGCATAACGTTTACTCCGTAATTTTGGGAAGAACCTGTTAGACTTTTTTTTATAAAAGTTCAAGTTGGTCATTTCTAATCTGTTTTTTAATGTTTGTCTTCTTTTTCTTCGCATTGTTCAAAAAAATTGTCTGCACGGTTCAATATGCACTTTGATTACCAAAACAAAATAGTTAATTGTGCTGAAGAACAGATTTTATAAATTTTTTTAAAAGACTATGAACAAATTTGGCACTTGGTATTCTTAAAACTTTTCGGAACAAAAATACTGTTCTGCAAAAATTCCAAGTTTCTTGAAAAAAAAAAAATTTGGAAAAAATGGTACCAATTTAAACTCCGGCTTTTATCTTAAATTTAAGCATTTTCACCTGTTCTAGCTTAATCTTATTCTATTTTTTGGTTTTTTTGTTTTCTCAAAAACTAATTAGCCAAATATGATACAAAAAATTCAATAGAAAAAAAACTAAGCAAAACTGATCTCCGCGGCATATTAGACTATGGCCTAACTTATGCAGAAAGAAAAGGATAACATCAAATGCATAATTTTAAACATTTTGATTGTTTTATTGCAACCCTATGAAGTTTTGTAGAAAAACAGACCTTGCTAGTTTTGGTTTTTGACCTATTTTTTGTAATTTTTCATTTTTTTCATTTTTCTATCAAATCTAGGATTAAGGGTTCAATCAAAAAACTGATTATGGGCTTTATTGCTGCATGAATAACTGTGCTCCGTTTCTGCCGATACAAAAATTGTTTGGGCTTAGGAACAGGCTGACTTTGTTTGGCTGCCATACCTTGATTTTTATAAAAAGAGAAACACAACGTTAGACAACGTAGATTCTTAGACATTGAACGTTTATGTGCAACTCCCTCCAAAACTGGAACTAAAAGTTCACTTACAAAACAGGTTGTGAGAACCTTCCCTGCATAAATGGCTACGCCCTTATTTTTCTTTAGAAAAATTAAATCCCTGGAAAAGACCATTTTGTAAGACTGACATTTTTGTGAAATTATTCGTTTTGTTATTACACTAGCAAACTTTAGCGAGCGTAGCGTAGTAGTACGACTCCTCTTTTTTCCAACCTAAGTCGCTAATATAGGTGCCTTTTTTGGAGTCACCTTTATAATTTTTGATAAAGTGCGCTTTTGCTAGTTTTCTTTATTGGTTTTAGGATTGAATCAACCACAAGAAAAGTCTAACTTTTCAAGCCTTATTTGAATCACTTTTTCCAACTTTTAAAAAAACTTATGAAGCCAATTCTTTGTCATTTTCTCGCTATTGTGTGAGAAGCTCAGCTTCGCTTCTTTGCTAATAATTACAATTTCAAATCTGGAATTATGGACTTGAACGAGAGAAATGGTACTTGCTAGCTTCTTGCATAATCGGCTACGCCCTCAATTCCGTAGGTTGAAGCTGAAACTTAAAAAAAAATCAAATTTTGATATCTTGACTGTTTTGATGAAATGTTATTTTTTCTTCGAAACAAAAAATCTAAATGTGGATATCATACCTGCATAATCAATTCACCCTAGTTTGAGTAAAACGATGAGTTAAAGTCGTTGGAAAAAGTTGTTTTTGGAATTTTGCTTCTTGATAAACGTTTCGGATTTCTTCGAAACTTAATTTCCCAGTGTGTGATTAAAGTTTCAATAAAAAAACGGGTTCTGCTCACTGTGCATAAAGTTTGCTCCCCAATTTTGGCAGAAGCAGCTATTTTTTCATAAAATTAAAGTTATCTTTTTAAATTGTTTTCTCAGCGTTTGTCTTTTTTTTCAAAGCAATTTTCAAAAAAATTGTCTGCACGGTTCAATATGCATTTTGACTACAAACTAAACAGAACAGTAAATTGTGCAAAAAAACAGAAACAATAAAACTTCTTACAAAATTTTATTCAAAATTAGCACTTGTTTTTTCAGAGTTTTTTTTAAAATCCTGTTTTGCAAAGGTTTTCAATTTTCTTTAAAAGAATTGATAATTTTCGAAAAAAAAATCTAGTACCAATTTAGTCTCCGACTTTTATCTCAAATATAAGCATATTCATCTAGTTGAGTTTAATCTTATTCCTCTTTTTTAGTTTTTCGAAACTCTCATTGGGGTAACTTTTGACCCATTCTTTGATTTTTTTGATTTCTCAAAACGTAATTCGCCAAATTTGATACCAGGATTTCAATGGAAAAAAATAAGCAATAGTTGATCTCCGCGGCATATAAGACTATAGCCTAAATTATGCAGGACGAAAAGGGTGACCTCAATTGTATACTATTAAACAAAACCGATTGTTTTTTTAAATCCTATGCTGTTTTGTAGAAAAACAGTCATTGCTTGTTTTGGTATTTTGAAAAATGTTTCCATCTATTTATCAAAACCGGGATAAAGAGGTCAATAAAAACATGAACTTGGGCTTTTTTACTGCATGAGTAACTATGCTCCGTTTCCGCACAAACAAAAAAGTTTTGAACTAAGGAACAGGCTGATATTTTGACATTTTTATAAAACTTTTGATTTCTCTCGAAATTTTCTTTCCCAAATTTGGAGCTGAACGTTCAATAAAAAAGGACAAAAGAACTGTCATTTGTTTGGCTGTCATACCTTGATTTTTATAAAATGAGAAACACAGCGTTAGACAGCGTAGATTCTTAGACATTGAATGTTTATGTGCAACGTTTTGATTTTTTCTCAATAACTCCCTCCAAAACTGGAATTAAGAGTTCACTTACAAAACAGAGAACCTTCCCTGCATAAATGGCTACGCCCTTATTTTTGTTTAAAAAAATTAAATCCCTGGAAAAGACCATTTTGTGAGACTGACATTTTTGTGAAATTATTCGTTTTTTTATTAGACTAACAAACTTTAGCGAGCGTAGCGTAGTAGTACGACTACTCTTTTTTACAACCTAAGTCGCTATTATAGATGCCTTTCTTGGAGTCACTTTCATAATTTTTGAAAAAAGGGGGCTTTTGCTAGTTTCCTTTATTGGTTTTAGGATCGAATCAACCACAAGAAAAGTCCAACTATTCAAGCCTTATTTGAATCTCTTTTTCCAACTTTTTAAAAAATTTATAAAGCCAATTCTTTGTCATTTTCTCGTTTTTGTGTGCGAAGCGCAGCTGTGCTTCTCTGCTAATAATTACCCTTTAAAGTCTGGGATAATGTGTTTGATTGAGAGAAATGATCATTACGAGGCCAAACTGTGCACTGGATAGGGGCACAATTTCGTGTCTGTATGTTCCTGGATTGTGTTCCAAAATGTAAGTGGATTCCACAAAATGTGTTCCAAAATGTAAGTGGATTCCACAAACAAAATTTTAGTGGATTCCTCATACACGTACCTGTAACGTAAATTTTGTCGGCACAAATTTTTTGTTGCGGATTCGGCAACAAGCAAACATAGCTAGTTGTTCTGGATTCCGCAATTGTAAGTGAAATCCGCAAAATGTAAGTGGAATCCGCAAAACTTGTTTGCGGAATCCGCAAATGTAAGCGGATTCCGCAAATTGTAAGTGGATTCCGCA